GTTAGCTCTCTAAAGTTCTCTTCCAGCTGCATAAATTAGCACCTCACTATTCTCTGTTGCAAATATCACCACCTAATTTTGGCATTTGGTTCTTTGCTCTTTCATCCTTTAATTGGCAACTACTGCTGAATTCCTGTGGGGCTACAGACCTCTGAGTAATTCACATTTCCAACTCCTACCTGACCATACATCACAAATTGTTTAAGCCACCTGAAGACTGCATGGCCACCAACCAAGTGTAATCCCACCACCCCAGGATCCCGGGGTGCAGGTTCCCACCCTGCTGCTGGCACTGGCATTGCCCCTTGTGCAACCACGCAGTCAACCAGACCACAGCTGCTCTTTCAGCTCTTAGTGCCTTTTTTGGGAGCCAAATTTTCTGCCAGATCATGCCCAAGGAAGCCAGCAAGGAGATGAGCAGGGAGGGAGGAAGGCTGGACCGCCTTTTTTGCCCACAGGGCACACAGGAGGATTCACAGCAAGTTTGAAACTGCCATCTGGTAAGTGCAAAAACCACACAGCGACAGGAGGAAATGTGCATTTAGATTCTTTCCAGCTACCACTTTTCTGTTTTAATCACAATCACAGTTTCATGCGGGCAGTGCATTGCCCTCGTGGGGAGGGGATTGCTTCACTGAACTGTTGAACTTCTCCAGGCCCTCAGATCAGCCAAGAGCAGAACACACAACGAGAAAGGGGCAGGTTTTGCAATCCTCAGTCATCAGCTTCAGCAGGAGGGGAGGAGGGAAAGCCGTTAACGAATAGACCTAAAAATAAATGCAAGGGTTTCCTGGCATTGTTTTCTGGTCTTCTGTATTCCCCCTATGAAGGAAAAAGAACAGTGGGATTCAAACTGCATTTTAGTTTGCTGTTAAAATTCAGGTCTCAAGAAAATATATGACAGGACTCGGAAACAAAAGCAGGTCTTGGATGATGACCTTCACTTCTGCTGTCCCTGGGGTTTGTGAAAGAGAAAGGAAATCACCCAGCATTACCAACATCCCTTCAAATTATTAGGCTCAAGCTTAGGTATCCAAATACCATACACTTACAGGACCTCCTTTCCTCCAAAAGCTAGACTATTTTTACAGAAGAAACCAGTACATTACTTTTATAGGTAACATCTTAAACTTTTCCATGTCAGAGAATATAATGAAAGCTCTAATTTTTTCTTTCGGTATATTTAGGGAACCTGTCAGAAATTCTCCCACATCTGCAGCAGCCAAATATACAACTTTTCTAGCTATGTATCTATCTATGTCACAGGAGAGGCTTAAAAAAGAAGCAGCAATATTGATCTTTCAGAAATCTATACAAAAACTATTTAGGTTCATCTATCTTGGATACCATAATTATAGAGCACAGCTCTGTCTGGCTGTTAGGTTCCTCAAAACAAGCTGAAAAGTAGTAATTTGAGTATTTATTTTCCCTTTTGGAGTACCTTATTGCAATTGCCCTAAAGATAAAAAATCCACAAGTTTTCCAAATGCTTTTCAAAAGCAAAAAAGCCCATTTTTAGTGGGAGGGCTCCACAAGGTGTATATAACAGGCAAACTCCATTGGAGTCTGGATGTACCTGGGCTCTGTTGTGCTGATGTAGCAGTGCAGGAGTTTTCTCACTCTTGCCCTTCTGGTGCCCTCGCCCAGCTGCTGTGGGGGAGTGAGCCAGGGTCTGTGTGAGGCTGAGCTACCTACCAAGGTCAAACTAAAACCACTCATTCCACATTTTTTTCTGTCCTAGTCAGTCTTGACTTCATGTTACAGAGCTTAAGATCCCCCAGCTTATTGTTGGTTGACCTCATAAGACCTTCAGTACACAGAAATAAAGTAAAACTCACTCACACAGTTAGGTAAGAGATATTTGCTTGACTAAAGGTTTCCAGTGTGGGGAACAAGAGCCAGTTTTACTGGTATGGTTTGCTGCAGGGATGGCTCCTCTGCTGGTTTGATGCTTGCCATGTGCTCGTCGTGGTCCTCTGCTCCTGCAACACCAGCAGCTGCTTCAGCTCTTTCCCCCAGTGCTCTCAGGAAATTTGCTGTCCCTTGCACATCTGCTGGCATACTGAATCCTTCTGACCTGAGTAAGCAAGTCTCCATCACCATCCTGACGTCTGCTAGACAAGAATTACAGGTGCCCAGAGCCACCTGCTACTCTTCCATCCTTCACTGAGTCACACTGCTCTTGTTTGTTAGGGACCAGAGTGCTTTGAACACAAGACAAAGATGTTATCAGCATTATTTCTGTGTACATATCCTGTCTCAGTCCTTTTTTCTCTTAGGTCCTGCCCTCCTTGTGACTTCTCCATGACCTTACCACTTGCTCTGTGAGAGTGCCTCTGGTTATTGTGCTTCTAAGCTTAGAAGCTTTCCTGTTATTGCTTTACCTTGATCTGCTGTGTGCCTTCCCAGCAGACAAACAAGTGGAAAAAGGCTGAAGCTGTAGTCAAAATGCATTAATTTGAGAGTATAGCATATCTACCTGAGGGACAGGGGAATGAAAAAGATCTCCAAACCCAGGAAGTGGATTATATAATAGAAAATATGTCCACAGCTTCCCATTTTTCTTCTAATGCAGTTTAACATGACAGTTCAGCTTACAGAGATGATCTGGATGCTGTCCTTCACCACTGACCAGCAAGCACTAGCTCAGGAAAGTGGCTAAATATTACATAAACTATTATCAGAGACAGCTTTGTAAAATATACACCTACAGGGCTGCCCCCGTTTGAATTTTGACTCTGCATCTGAGGGATGCTTGTCAAAGCCTGTGCTCTGCTGAGGACAGGGTGCTCCTGGCTGGCTGCTGAAGCTGGAGCATCATCAGAGGAGGCAGAGCACAGCGAGGTGCCTGGAGGCAGCTGCCATCCTCTGCACTGATGCAGAGAGCAGCCACCAGCTCAAATCCCTTCTCCAGCTCCTGTTCATCTCCTGATAATGTAATTACTTGATCAAGCCCCAAATTCATCAAAGACAAACTCGATCTCTGAATCATGACGTGATCTTGGGACAATGAAATTTTTACAGTCGGGATGAAATGCACAACAGGAGCTTTTACAGGAGCTGGGAACAGAACATTTTTGGATGCTGAGAATTGACACTCTTCCTGAAAAAAGACAAGCCTCAAGTCTGATTCATAGAATAAAAATAAACATTATACATGAATATAAAATTGGTGACCATTTTCTGTAAAGCTATGAATATAATTTAAAATAGGAATAGACCACTATGATAATTTGTTTTGATTTCCTACAAGGTAATAACTATATAACTTCCCTGAATTCTAGATTTAAAAAACCAGCTTGACAATATTTATTACAAGCCTGTTACTAATTATCCTCCTTACTAATAAATGGTACTTTTATCAGTGAAAATTAAAATAAAATATTGTCATTCTACAGTGAATGCAGTGTGGAAACACATTAGTTAATTTTCTTATAAAATGTTGAATTTACAGGTCAACATTCATATCAAATTACAAATATGTAAATAGAGATATTCACTGTTCTGACAGCATTTAGAAATAATCAAATACACATAATACTGGCATCATTGAAAACCTATATAGAAACCTGGTTTGTATCCAAAGTAAATTAATCTCTTTCCAAAATGCATTCTAAATAAGAATTGATTTGGTAACATTTTAAAATTGTATTATCAAGAAAGCCAGGTCTAAACATACCATTTTAACTTGATTTGCCATTTCTCATTATCATTTTACTATTTATTTTGTCCCATTTTTCAATTGAATGACTTAAGTATTGCCCTTGAGATGCTCCTATTTATAGCATATCTTAGAATTTATTAGGTTCACAAAAATTCAGTCAATGATGTTGACCTTTACAAGAAAGAATCACTCAGACTCCTTAATTCCATTTCACTGCATTGCAGTGGTAGCTATCTTTCTCCATTTTATCTAAATTTTACCTATTTATTTCAGTATCCTAAGGTTCCCTCAAGCAGGACATTTTCAAGCTTCAATTTTTCATAGCCTCTTTATTAAATGCAAATTTCCTCTTTTTGTACTTTTCCTTTTCACTGAAAATGTAGGACAACACACAAAAAAATCCCTAAGAAAAAAAAATGTTGGTTAGTGAGGTATTGTAAGGTATATTCTGCAAAGACACAGAAGCGCTTCATTCCACAAAAGCATGGACAAGTCCAGACCAGGGTTAAAAATCAAACTGAAGGAGTCACCATCCAGGGCACCTTACAGTAATTGGTGGATTTTCTTCTTCAAAATTAATAGTAAGTCCGTTAACTAAGACTCGGAATACCAGCACACAAGGGAAAAAAAGCCAAAACAGCTCATGCAAATCTGAATTAACTCAGTAGATTACGAAGAGGTTAAATAGAATGTCTGCACAGGGAAGAACATACATCACTGAAAAGCTTCAGCGCACCAAGTAGATAATGGGACTGTGGATTCACGGAAAATAAGGTGATGGCAGGTTAATTAACCACATTTCATGTAGCCTAGAAAGATCACAAAAGGGGAAGAGTGTCAGAAATGATAGTAAAAAACCTTTATTTCAACTTTCAAAGTTGGAATTGGCATGGATGTTGTTAGCAGTAGCTGTCACTGCTGACTGTTTCATGGTGGGTTCAGGAGTATGTGCCCAGTGAGAAATGCCTCAGCACAAAAAGTTCTTTTAGAAACTCAAGAGGAGCCAGAAGAACGGCAAGCCCAGACATAATCATGATATTTACTCAACCACGGCCAAAAGCAAAACCCCCAGCTCCAGTGCAATGACACACAGAGGAGGCAGGTATTTATCAGGGCCATAAAGTGACTTTGTCACACCTAAGGGTCAGCAAAGTTCATACTTCCAATCTTTCTTCTCACTTTCTTATGATTATGAAAAAAAAAGTGGCAAAGCAGCTTCCTACTTGCAAATATAAGACCCTTTCTCCCTCACAAGCCATGTCTGCCAGGCAAAGCCAGCCCAGGATCCTGGCTGCTGGGACAGCCAGCAGAGCAGACAAGGACTCTGAACCATCACAAGGCAAAGGAAGTGATGCCCAATCGAGCCTCTGGGAAACTCTCCTCCTCTTAATTTTGGAAAGTCAAGCTTACCAGTTTACAGCATGCACTTGCAGACAAATGGGTGTTCCCTGACAGGCTCTGCAGGGATTTGAGCACCATGCAGTGTGTGGTGCTGAGGGAGAAATCCCACAGCTCCAGTGACTGCAGCTACAGTATCCAGTGTCTGCCTGGTAATAGCAGCTCAGTTCCATCCCTGCAAGATGGGGATGAAAGATAAGGACCATTTCATTTTGTAAGACACAGATTAAAACAGAGATCAATAATAAAATAAAACAGAGAGCAATAATAAAATTGTGACAGAAAACTACAAGGCAGGGTTTTTCCAGCAAGGCCAGCACCTTCTCAGCTGTTCTGGTGAGACATGTCTGTCCCTGTCTATCACCTTTGCCATGCTTGAAAAACCTCCTTCTTTTCTGTCAGGATTTTAGTGACAGTATTCTCTGTGACAAGTCACATGGCAGTGCAAAAAACTAGATTATCCTTTCCATTCCTCCTTGATGTTTCCATGAATCACATATTCATTGGATCCCTCTGCTACTTTTCCCAGGAGAAGTATTTTAGTGTGGGGAGGGTGAAAATAAAAAGAGGGTGAGATTTGTCATCACACAGACAAAAAACTCAGGAGTGTGCTATTTATGGGGCACATCTACCTTCTCACTGACCTTACTTTCTCTGCACATTTATATATCCATTAGAATTTATTAACTATGAATACATTAGGCTCCAGGTGCATAACATAGTGTCTAGAAAATGTATTTTAATAAAATATCCCAACAGCATGTCCAGATAATGCCTGCAATGTCCCCATATGTCTCACTACACAGATCACACAACTTAGTATGTCCTGGTAATATATGAGCTGCAATGGTATCATCAGCTACACTCATTACCATTTAAGATAGGACAAAAAGGCAAGCTCTTATTAAGTGGTTTTGGATTTCAAACTGTTCTATTTGATACTTAAGAGCATAATATTTTAATTAAGGGGGTTGTTTTCCCATTATGGAAATAATTTTGAAGCAACTTTCCTCCTGGTTGCTTAAGCAGGTTCATTACAATGCAATGCAATTTACCCAGCTGGACAGGTCTGCAGGTGGCCAGAAACCCATTAGAGAGGTATCTACCTACTACAGGGGAAACTAATATTCAGGAGACAGGAAATCTCACAGGGACTTCGATTTTGCCAGGCATTAACACAGTTGACTGGGTAGCAGGTGGCTGGAAGCATAAATTTCCCTGTAACTTATTTATTAGGTCTCCCTTGCCTCCCTTCTTCTAGAATTATGATATGCTCTTGGCATTGATAAACCCCAGCAAGGGCACACTGTAAAGACACAAGTAGAAAAGTCTTGATAAATATTTTTTATCTATTTGACCTGAGCTATTTGAACCAAACTTGAGTCTTTTTCTTTTCTTCTCTGAGGAGAAAATAAAATATTCCTATGATGCAAACCTCCCCATTTAGAAATAATTTATAACTGCCTGTCTTCCTGAATAGAATAAGAGTCAAAGTGGAATTAGATTCTTCTGTCACAGTTCCAAACCTCCTTTCAGCCAGCTCTCTGCCTGGAAAGCTTTCCATCAGCTTTTTTTTCCCCTACACTATAATCTGGTTTTCCTCTCTGTTTTTTCCACTCTCCATATTTCCATGATGTTTTCTCTACCACTAAAGTTTTAGTCCCTCTGCTCATTCCCGTGGAAATTATTTGAGGTACAAACTTACCATATGCCTGTGTACTGTTTATATGTTTCAGTTACCTGGTGCCCCCAAGGAGCTCACCTGAAGTTCATGCTTGCATGGAAGGCTCATCACATTCACCAGCTCTAAAGAGGTTTACTTCTGTGTAAACCAGAACACAGCAAAGAAGAACATTTTCCATTCATTCTGGCAGGAAAAGCATAGACAATTCTCTCATGAGTGTTTTGGGAGTAGTTATTCAAATTCCCTAGAATATTCTGAAAATTTCAGCATTATCCACGAAAGCCAAGGTCTGTATGACTGCACTGCATCATTTACAGAGCAGCACTCACGACACCTCCAGTTTCACAGCACACTCACCTGCTCTGCTACAGCACAGCACAAACTGGCATTTAGATTTTCATGGTTCACTCAAGACAATCTCATATTCCCCTTCCAGCTCCATGACCACATGTGCCACTTGTGGATGGCTGTGGATTTGTGCAGATGTACTGGAGCTGCCTCAGTCCTCCCTGCTCCGTGTGCCACTCGTGTCCCATGTCACAGTCTGACACACCACTAACTCTTGGACCACACAAAGAGGCCCTGGAGGGGCACAGGAGTATATGGAGAGCTATGGTCTCCATCTCTCAAGACCAAAAGTTTTTTAAAAAAGCATTGCCTTATGCATACTGAAGACATAATTCTCCCTGCTAACACCCACACAGGTTTTCCTGGAACTCACAGTCTCTGAGTAGGCAACAGATCCAGAAAGTTGATATAGTTACTGTAAGTGGTTTGGAGAATGGAAGTAGGTCTTACATCTGCTTCTAAGAAATTTCATTAATAAGTAAACATATCCATAAATATTGTGAATAAACCAGGGGCAAGAAAGACATACATTTCATCCACTTAGCAGCAGGAAAGCAAGAAAGGATTTCTTTTCATAGGCCTTTCCTGTAAATTATATGGGAGAGCTGCATAAATCTTCTTTGACCCAGTTTAGCCATACATTATGTTTTCCTGTTAAAATATTCACATACAATTAAGTATCCACTAGGCAGACAGACAGGAGCAGAGACCATGGAAGTGTAGAGGAGGCTGTCAGAAAAACAGACTCCTCCTCACAATACAAATTACAAAAATCTCTAAAGTGATCAATGTAAATTGAATCTCTTCAAAACTGGCTTTAACATATTTTCATTTCCTTTGTCCTTTCTCCCAAATCACTCCAACTTTTCTCTGTTACAGCTGGCACAGAGGAAACAAATCATTACAGAACCACACATTATTACTAGACAAATCCTGCTGGCTTCATTCACACGCATCTCATCTTAATGACAGTCTAAGCCCTTTAAAATAAGGCCTTAAATAATAAACTCAACCACAAATACACCACTATTGCAATAAATTCATATAAGACATGCACACACTATGGCAGTAAGAGGTTGGACAGCTAGGAAGACACACTCTTAAAACCACTTGAAACACAATTACAAAGGAAAAGCTTTCAGCTGTTTTCCCTTTATAGAAAGCAATGCACTGTTCCTTTAACAACACCCATTCCTGCCTTCCTTCCAAGTGAAAGAGAAAAGGTCCACTATGCAATCTCTTGGCCCCAAAGAAGGGATCTGTATCAACCTCAGGAATTCCTGGGTTTGGCCCCAAAACATTTTCTTCATTGGTGTCCTGGACTTTCATGGTAAAACCACTAGCCTGTGGGTGTATAAGTTGCTTAGGAATTACTCTTCTACCCACATATCTGCCTATGATCAGCCCCGATCAGCTCCAAGGTAAGCAAATGCCATCACATCCTCCACAGCAAGTGGGCACCTACCCTGGAAAAAACAAATGCAGTTAACTCCAAATCATCAAGACACCAATTCCAAATGGAGCCAAGCCTCAGGCACATCAGATACACCCAAAGAAGTAGTGTTTGATGGTGGCTGGTCCCACATACAGGAGCCTTACATCAACCTACATAAGAGAGCAAGCTCCCTACTTAAACAAAGGAAAAAGCATTTCATTCACGTTCTCTACATAGATCTGCAGAGGTTCTCAGTCCCTGCAGTGACTGCAGAATCTGTGCACCTAATTTCAGCAGTGTGAGCTCCCCCTGCCAAGACTAAACACTCACATGTTTTTTCACTGCCTAAGTAATGATGGTAGGTGATCAGAATCTGGCTTAATACCACATAAAAGTCCTTGGAGGTGAATCATTCCCAACAATGTATTCAGTTTAATTTCCTGGTAGGAAAAGTGACTGTTCATGATGACCCTTTGTGAAGTGAAGTGGTTGCAAGCAATACATTTTACTTGTTTCTTCTCTAATGTTTGGTCTTAATTTTTCTACGTCTTTCCATTCTTTCTCCTCCCCCGTCCCTGCTTTGTATTTAGGCAGAGAATATTGTATTGTACTGAATTTAGGCACAGAAGTATTGTTTACTATCTCATTAAGCTCATCTGAGAACAATCACAAGCTCCATTAGACCACACTGGCAATATATGGCTTTAATTATTTTTTCATAGAAAATTCTCACACTGGAGTAGAGTAATAGAGTGGTTGTGACATCTTGCTACAAATTCTTACGTGGGAGTGTATGTGGTGGGAACAGGGCCATGGGAGGGCTAATGGAGAGGCAGGAGAAGGCAGAACTGTTCTTTGGGCGTTCTCTAAGGAGAAGGATCTTGGTGAAATATTTCCATCTGCTACATATTCTAAAAGTACTTCCATCTTCAATGTTATATCGTCAGAATTAGAGATTCATCATGCACTAAAATCAGGTCACTAGTCACTCATTGAGATGATAGTCATATTTTTATTAAAACTTTTAAGCAATTTTGATCTCATAGATTTTTATAATACTTGATCTCTAAGCCATATTCCACTATCCCTGCATTTGCTGTTCAGCCTACCTTATGGCACAGTAAAAAGTCCTACCATCTGGCAGAACAATCAAAATCTTGCAAATTAGAACATCACTCTAAGCTTTCTTGGTATGTTTTTTTGGCAAAGCCTTTGTCCCAGAGTATGAATTCTCCTTACAAGGTAGAAAATATTTCCTAAGATATTTACAGCCAGAAAAAACTTTGGTACAAAGTGTCTCTTTCTACCAACTCATGCTGCTTCTAAAAGCAGGGGAAAATAGGCCTCAACATCCTTAATGCTCTTGGCTTTCACTTCATCAAGGCTTTTCTGTTGAAACATTCAATACTGTCGATAGGAGAATTTTTGTGCTGGCAAGACAGTTTTCCTCTTTCAAGGGATCATAAAATAGCATTATGCATTTATTCAAATCCTACACAGCAGAGGTTATTCCACTGCCAAGGTTGTCAAGGTCTAAATCTTGGCCTGCCTTTTCCATCTCCAGGATATTTGCCATTACTTCATCTCCAAAGAACTGTTTCTTTTTCTCCAATCTCCCCTAAACACACCTAAAGAAAAGCCTTGAATCCTCCAGTAAGTCAGATTAAGAGCACACAAGCAGCCTGTGAACGCTGCCCAGAGCAGGCAGCAGGGTCTGTGTGCAGACTCCAGCTGGGATGAGGAATGCCATCACGGGTTGTCCTGCAGTCAAGAGGACAACCTGCTGCCCATGGAGGGGCAGGGCAGCTCTGCAGGGGCCTGAGAAAAGCTGCGTGGAAAGCTCTTCAGTCCTTCAGCTTCCTCACAGTTTCGTGATATTTTTCAAACCACCTGGCCAGGGCCTGTGAATTGGCAGGCACTCCTGACCTCCTGGCAATTTAATGAGACCCATTGTTTCAGTTCCAGACTCCACTTCTTTAAAACAAATAGCTGGTGAACAGAGTGTATAAATACAGAACTCCAGAAATTTCCAGCCTCGCAATTCCATTGTTCTGCTGTGATCTCTGGTTCTCAGGGGCCTTTAGCCCTTGTCAGTAAAATCCTGATGGTGAGGAACAGATAACTTAATTACCTTGAAATTGAAGTTTCAGCCTCAGTGTTACCTAGCAATGCGTGCATCGAAAGCATTATGTTTTAAAAGCCATCTGAAAGCATGGGAAGGTTGCCAACTATTCAAGTATTGTCATAGTTCTGATTTTCTCCAGCTCCCCTGATAGCACTCAGAAATGGGACCAGCCTTCCAAGGAGGAAAGACATCTGGAATAAAGACAACTCCATTTACGTATCCTGAAAACTCTCAAAGCAAAGAATTTTACTTGGCTTCAGTGTTGTCATATGGGTGCCCTCACTTCTCACTGGGGAAGAAGTGCCTCCCTCCACTCTCTGCTGCCTGGAGGAGGCAGATTCCTATTGAATCAGCTCATCAGGAGCCCTATAACCACAGCTTTTTCAATGGGAAGCTTTGTCTCTGACAGACCCACAAGATTGACATAGTGACTGTTCTGGGTTTGCTGTGGATTTCTGCCTCCTGGTCCTCAGTGTGAAAGCTTGATTTCAGGGTAAAGGGAAGCCCAGAAAACTATGGTAGACCTTGGGAGATTCACTCTGACTCATCTTTTCACCATCACTTAGTCTGTCCAGGCCTGTTGCCTCTCTCCAGATGAACCCTAATGATGGTTCAAAGGGCTGGCTCTCATCTTGGCTGAGGTGCTCTACTCACTGCTTGGCTGTGAGACAGCTTTTGCAGACTTTGGGGCAGGACCTGTCATTTCTTGCTGGAGCTGCTCTGACAGGCACTGGTCCAAGATGAAGGCTGCTAAGCTCTACCATGATAAAAAAAAATAAATGAGACTCTGGGCAGTCTTTGTCCCCCTTCACATTACAGAGCCCGGAAGATCTTCACCCTGCAATTTCATCTGTGTATGTTTGTCCAACAGAGAGTCTTGTCACACAAACGTGACTGGTGACTATAACTCATTCTCAGAGAATCTGTGATTCTTTTCCTTGGAAAAGTTCTGCATTTTAATATGGTGCGCTGTCTTCTCTGGAACATCTTCAGAGCTACATAGAATAAAATAGGAAATGAAGGAACACTAAGTTCAAACAATGTGTAAGGTCAGAGGAGAGTGTAAATAACCTCATAAACATTTACCTCTCCCAACTCTCCCCAGGATGGAGCAGCTCCCCTCTTCAAAATAATGACAAAGCTCCTCTGCACAATCCTCTTGCCATTCTCCCTTCCTTCCACTGCTGCTAACAATCCTATAGATGCTGCCTTAAAGAATCTGCTGATTTGAGCTAAAGCCCCGTGTTTGTACTGAAACACAGAAGTAGCTCATTAAACTCCTCTTAGATAAATTGTTTAGACTTAGTAATTCTCTCCTTTCCTCCCCTTACGTATCCAGCCTATTGTTTATAGCCAGCATTCCAGGCTGTGTGTGATGAAAATGCTGATGTGTTTCCTGAGTTACAGACTCAGGCTTTATCTCATCTGTCATTTAGGAAACCGGCTGCATTATCATTTTATACTGCTGTGTGCAATGTTTATTTTTCCCCCATTATTAACATTGTATAGGAGGAAGTGCCCAGCCCCATCAGCTGGTAGCTGTATTGTGCATACCATACAGAAACACACACAAAATAAAAAGGAATACATAGTGTGAATGTTTGGAGAAATTTGTGAACACACATAGTTTACAAGGTCTCTGTATATTGGGGACAGCCTCTGGGTGACAATGCC